TAATGCAAACAATAGATGTTTCTGATATGTTTTTAAAACACAGCAAATGGCAAGTTTTCTGTAATGTAAACAATAGATGTTTCTAATGTTTTTTTTAAAGCACACAGCAAATGGCAAGTTTTCTTTAATGTAAACAATAGATGTTTCTGATATGTTTTTTTAAAGCACACAGCAAATGGCAAGTTTTCTGTAATGTAAACAATAGATGTTTCTGATATGTTTTTTTAAAGCACACAGCAAATGGCAAGTTTTCTGTAATGTAAACAATAGATGTTTCTGATATGTTTTTTTTAAAGCACACAGCAAATGGCAAGTTTTCTGTAATGTAAACAATAGATGTTTCTGATATTGTTTTTTTTAAAGCACACAGCAAATGACAAGTTTTCTGTAATGTAAACAATAGGTGTTTCTGATTTGTGTTTTTTCCTTTTATGTTATAGCTTAGTATCAAGATCAATGAATTGGAAAATAAAAAACAGTTCAAATGTGTGTGGGTTAACAGTAAGTTAAAAGAAGAGGTAAGTAGATATTATATTGAATATGTTGAGATCCTTGTATAACAATAATGTTGGAGTTCCACTACTAATTACTGCTTAAAAATGAAAAATACTGACATAGTAACTGAAATCATTTCCTTATAATATGAAGTACAAGCACAGTGATCTGTAGACCTGATTCTTGTATCAAAATGTGAAATAGGAAAGCTTTTTTGTGTAGGTTATTTTTTAATGAAACATTTTAAACATAAATAACTTGTAGCAGTGAAGTTTAAATAAACTGTTGACGTATATTTATAGTTTTTTACTTTTTGTATTATTCAGTGACGTATTATCCTGTAAAATATTGGTTTTCTGTGAGATTAGCTGGTGTTGATGACTTGTTAGTGTACAAATTAATGTTTATATAGGTTACTGTCTGGTAACAAGAATCACATTGTGGAAATGTGTAGCTAATGTTGATGACATGTTAGTGTATGAATTAATGTTTATCTAGGTTACTATCTGGTAACAAGAATCACATTGTGGAAATGTGTAGTTAATGTTGATAACATGTCAATTTCCACAATGTGATTCTTGTTACCAGACAGTAACCTAGATAAACATTAATTCGTACACTTCAACATTAGCTACAAACATGTCAAGAAAATGGCATTATGTTTAAATAGCTTTAGAACTGATAATAGAACCCATATTTTAGCAAGCTAATTTGACAGATGTGGATATTGTGTGACAGGGGATACATAATTCAAAGGCTAATAGAATGAACATATCAGAAAAGTTAAAATCAACTCAATTTGTATAGTATTTTTAGTAAGCAACTATAGTTGAAGTTTGCATTAAAACTAAAGCTGTAAATTACTTCTCTGTTATTATTTTTCAATATTATTATTGTTTTTATATAGTTCTGTAGAAGGTTAGGTGCTAAGTAACATTGTAACAATATTGTATTTATAAAGTTCTTTAAAAGTTTAGGTGCTAATTAATATTTTAACATTATTATTGTTTTTATATAGTTCTATAGAAGTTTAGGTGCTAATTGAAAACATATAACAGATTTAAACCTAAATATATGTTTTTTAAAATATTATATAGTATGTTAGAATTTCTTCATCTGTTGTAATGGATATACACATTCTACAGTCTACTTCAACTCAGAAATTAGAGGGTTTATAATGAAATGTCTGTTTAAAACTTGCATATTTCAATGTTGTAGACTGAGCTGGTTCTCTATCCTAACAAAAATGGTTGTGTTGCTGACCTACTAGATGAAGCAAAGAAAATGGTGGATCTATCAGATGACGGGTCTGGTAAACTAAGGTAGGTTACGGTGTGTGATAACATTTTAAACTAAGGGTAGTTTATATGATCATTACAAAAAAGTGGAGATATTTTAAACTAAAATTAGTTGTAATCTTAAAAAAAAAAAAAAGACAACATTTTAATTTAAGGCCAGTTATGTGATCTTTACAAGAAGTAATGGTGCTATAATTAAGGCCACTTATGTGATCTTTACAAGAAGTAATGGTGTTATAATTAAGGCCAGTTATGTATTCTCTGCCAGAAGTAATGGTGCTATAACTAAGGCTGGTTATGTGATCTAAACAAGAAAGTAATGACATTGTAGAATGAAATTAATCATAAGATCTTTAGATTAAAATAATATTTTGGCAGAAGGTAAGTTTGAAATGTTTACAAGAAGTAAAACAGACTCTCCAGTTACTGGTAAGTTAATTTACAAAATTACTGCAATTTTTCTTAGCTTTTATAACTGCTTCTTATCCTCAGTATAAACTCTGAATTATTTACTCAGGTTGTTAGAAGTTATCAGCTACAAGATCTTTCTTATCCAACGTGAAGATGTCCAATTGGAATGTCTGAATCCTGCTGGTACCAAAACGTACAGAATAGAAGAAATTCCAAAAGATGAACTTCACCTTGAAGACGATGAACTTTTAGTTCCATGTGCACATTTTCACAAAGTTAGTTTGTTGTATTGTGTTCTCGACATGTGCTATAGTTAAAATTATGAATTGAACATCACTAGTGTAATTTTTGTACTTTGAAAACCACATTTTCATGATGAGTTTAAATTACTGTATAATATTTTACTACTGAGTAAAAAAAAAATGAAATTTTGAAGCATTTTGAGAAAATGTTTGAATGAAGTTTAACCCTATGGATAGGAGTGGGGCACTGGCTTGGTCATTTTGACCAACCATGAAATTTGACCACAAGCTTTTAGTAAACATATATATCTGTTGTACACAAAAATAACATTTCAGTAAAGTAGTTTTTCCTAAACTTCTTGTCTGTGAATTTAAGAAGTCTACTGAATCAGTCTGATTGAAAGATAATTTTTCATGCTAAGAATAAAAATACTATTATTCTTAATTATGTTTAACACAAACTGGAGTTTATTGTGAGACATTTTTATTTTATTTACTTTATCAAGAATAAAAGTACTCTCTTTTTTTTCATCTTACAGTTCTTATATTTCATTTACAAACCTCTAGAACCTTCTAAATGAATATCAAAAGTTTTATAAAGTATCAGGTTACCTCAAACTGCTTATGTCTTGTGCATCCATAGAGGAGGGATCAAAGTTTTATTTTTGATATCTAACCTAAAAAATTATAATTTTTGTTGTAATAACTTTGGTTAAAAATATATAACTATATAATATCCATAAAAAAACTTTAACCTTCAGGCCATTTGCACCTGTGTGTATGATTTAGTAAGCTTATATCATTATTCAAAAATATATATCACTCAGTAGATTATATTGTCTCTAAACTAATGTAGTCCATATGGTTTTTTAAATAACATAAATGGATAAAAAAATTCCCTTCTGTTCAGAACACTGATTTGATTCAACACATGTCAAGATTTTCTTGTGAACTATCAGCTTTTAGCACTAAAACAAAACAGACAACCATCTGATTTATGTAGCTCAGAATTTAATATTCCTATTTGTTGTAAATGTGTCCAGTTACAATGTCAGAGATGATTATAGACAGTTCTTAAAAGACAGAAAATAACATTGAATGAGTTTGTCTTTGTGGGTTGAACAGTTTTAGTGATATCTCAGTAAAGCAAGAAGAGACTGAAACTTTATATTGTGGCTTTTTAGTATCTTTAGCATTTGTTTCTAATTATAATGGAGGAGATGAAAATCTGTAAATGAGAAGTCACAGTGCCACCATGTTATAAGACTCAGGTGCATTTTGAGAATTTATCTGAGCATCTTTTATTTTGAAATTAAAAAATTAAAGCTTAGGTAACATAAAGATATGAACTGTGTTTTGATGGTCAGTTTCTATTAATGTACATAGATAATAAGGCAGATTAACTAAGTTTTGAAAGTAACTGTGTAAAAAGGTCATGATGGAGCCATAAGGTTAATGTAAACATAATCTTTACTTGCCAGACTGATGGTGTTTATATGTGTAAACTTTTTCTTTTACTTCTATTCAGGAAGTCTTTTCAACATTTGGAGTTCCCTTTCTTTTAAGAATAAAGCATGTAAGTATAAGAATTATTTTTGCATGTTTACTGTAGTTAACATAAACTTTGAGTAAACATGCTACCTTCCCTCTCTATAGTAATCTTGTGTAGTATCTAGGTAGTAACAAGATTACCTCTGTTGGTTTTAGAAATAACAGTTTAAAATTAATGTGTTACATGTTGTGATGTATTATTGTTACTACCAGGTTTTTGATTGTTAGATACTGATAGATTAAAATGTGTAGTATTCTTTTTTAAAGTTATGATGTTTTTTTTCAAGGTGCAGACTTAGAATATCATGCAATTATATTTTCAGAAAGAACCATTCACTAAGGTACGAGAAAGAATACAGAAGAAATTAGACATACCAGATAAAGAGTTTGAAAAGGTAAAGATACAAGTATAATGCCTACATAAGCTTGTATTGCAAACATTGATGATGCTTGGCAACTAAAACCATGGCGATAGAGCATTGTGATGTAGTTTGATTAATTTTAAGTGTAATATGTGCAATATTGCTATTGTGGGAATGGGTCAGTATCATGTAGCTTGTTTTTGTTTTAGTATTTTTCTTTGCTGTTGTGTTAATTGAATAGTTTGTCTTTATTACAGTATAAATTTGCTATTGTGGTGATGGGTCAGCCTCAGTACATCAACGAAGATGCTGAGTACCTTGTCAATCTTCAAGATTTCCTGCCACACCCACCACAAGGTCAGTTGAAGTACATGTATTGTGTTTAGTGACAATGAGTACTCATTTGTGTAATACTACTTAAGAAACAGGATTTGTTTGTTTTGGAACATTACAACTAAGGTTTAGAAGTATGGGAAGGCACAAAGATATCTGAATTTCTTTAATAAAACTATTACCCAAAACATTTATTTTAATTCAACTACATAATACTTGTGTTTTTTCATAAGTTTATTAGCCAGGTTTAAGCTGGTGGTTATTTTTCTTGGACTATTAGTCCAAGGGTTCATAGTTCACAGAAATGCACTTTGGGCAGTTGGTATTTATAAGACTTATTGTAAATCCTAGCATTCAGTTAGACAAGAGTTGGTATTGATGCTGTTGATGAGATGCCTTCCTTCTAGTCTGTCAATTGAGAATTAGACATGGCTAGCCCTTTGTATAGCTTTGTACAAATATTCTGAAACAAAGAAATTCTCATAAATTTGTATCTATTCTCATTTAAGTTAATTAACCAAATTGAATATAGGAAAAGTAACTGTATTTGTTTTTTCCAAGTTTACGCATACATAGTGAAAAATAAATTTTGTTTTCACAAATATGGCTGTTTGTGACATGTTTACAATTTTCCAAATAAGTCAAAATTGAGTTCAGTCTCATGACTGCTAACCAGACAAATGATTTATCAAACTCAGCTTCACTTAGTTGTTAAAATTCTCAGTCTCCTATATTTCACATATAACTTATTTGTTCCAAATTGCCCAATATAGGTATTCTTTCCACCCATTTGAGTTTCTGAGTTATAATATAGACTACATACTTATAGTATAGATCTAATTTTACAACCTCCAATCATGCTGATATTAAAAGATATAAACCAGAAAGTCACACCCATGCCATTCTCTCCTATTGCGTATTGTCTTTCAAAAATGTTGGTAATTATCTCTGGCATTTACTAATACATTATTTATAACCAATAGAAAGCGAAGATATTATTCTAGTGACAAATTTTTAATTAATCACATTACAGATTCAAAGCTGCTATTGCCAAGCAAGGGAAATATTTTAACACACATACAGCTTAGTTACAAAGCCAGTTAGATAATAATATTCTTAAGATATTGTATTTTATGTATGTAATATTATTTTGTTTGTAACTGAATATTTGAAATAAAAGAAAATTCAGTAAATTACTAAAAAAAATATTACCAGTCAAGACTTTGCATATAAAAAGTACACACAAGTTAAAAAATTTTTTTGTATATTTTGTATTTAATTTTATAAAATTAACCAAAATGTAGAACTTACAAATTATTAAGTTATAGAAGAAAATATAAATTTAGAAAAAATTTCTCAGCAAGATATGCATGCAAGCTGCAAGTGATTTACATAATTCATCACTTTGTAACTTGAGCTCTGTACTTGCTTGGTTTCTGTAACTTTACAAGCCTGAGGCTGTTAGAATAAATAATTGTACATATCTGTTGCAGTCTGCACTCAATGTTATTGTAGAAAGAGTAATAGATAAAATGTAAAGTTTTAATGGAAAAACTTGATTTTTATTTAAGAGGTTTTAATGGTTTTGCAAATGAAATATAAAAACTGTAAAATGAAAGTATTTTTAGTTTTAACATGAAAATCATCTTGAACTTAGACTAGTTAGTCAGAGCCAGACTGTGACTCCATAAATTCATAAATAAATATTTAGTAAAAATACTTAATTAAAAAATATCTTTTTTGTATGTATAGCAGAGTTGTAATGGTTACTAAAAGCTTGCAAACTTTTATGAAGACATACTTATTACATTTAAAGTTATGGTATGTATAGTTTCATGGTTACATTGTAATTACAAGGTTGATCAAGTGACCAAGCCTGTAAAGAAAGGGTTAATAAGGGCATCACATAGCATGGGTCTTGACCAAGTAAATGCCAGTAAAATTTCTATATTAATCTTATATGTCACGCCTGAGTTCTTTAGCTATACACTTTAAAGTTTCTCGCTTTGATGTGGGTCTGCTTTGGAACTGAATTTAAGTTTTGTTTCCACCTTATTTTATCTTTGTAGGTAGTTCACTTCCACCTAAGCCTTGGTTAGGATTGGAACATATAAACAAAGCCCCGAAGAGGTCTCGCTGTAATTATCTTGAAAAAGCCATCAAGATCCATAACTAAATTGGAGAGTATTGTAAGTTTTTTTTATATTGTAATAAATATATTCTGGATTCATAGTATACGTTATATAAACAAATTTGTACATGCCCATAATTTGATTATATCTTTATAAACTATACTTACAAAAATTAAGTTTGTTGATGTGCAGGTATCATTTAGTCAATATGCTGGAATACATGTGAATTATCAATTATATGCTAATTTGGAAAATGTATAGAGTTTGGCTTTACAGGTACAGTTGCTTTGTATTTCAGGACTAACACAGTAAAGAGCTGATAAAACTAAAAACAGTTTTTAAAGAATTGGTTTGATTATACTATATGTAATGATGTTTCACCCACTATCTTCATATTGCTTAAGATTTTCAGTTTGAATGAAACTGTTCAGCTGACTACTGTAGTGAATTAAATTGGTATTGCATTCGGGTCCATGTGTGTGTTTGTGTTTCCACGTGCATATCTCGCAAACTAATAGACTTATTACACAAGATGAGAGGTCAGTATGGGACAGTCCTCCCAAAATTTGGTCCAGATCCGTGTTCTGGATCACTTTGAAGCATTTTTTATAATGATAAGGTAGGGCATTTTCACAGTGTTTGGATTAATAACTCAGTAAAATGTGATCAGATTTGTACCAAGTTTCATGTGCACATTAAGGTTGAAACTTCCCACCACACTACAAAAAATGATCTGGATCTGAGAAGAATTATCTGAGTTTTTGAAGGTGAATTTTAACATTATCCAGTATAAACGCATGCAATCTCAAAAAGGAGTGGTGGGGCAAGGGTATACAATCCCTCTGATTGCTCTTGTTCATTGTTGTGAAAAGGAACTACATTAGATTAGTTTAACACAAAGTTGTTCAGCAAGTCTTATTGAACAAAGAATAAAAAATGTACATATTTGAAATGTAGGTTTAATGAAAAATTATTCTCTTTGCCATTAAAAAAAAACTTGGGGCTTTTTAGAATTCTAGCACCAAAATATTCCAGAGATCCTGTAGGATTAGCCAAGCTTTTATTATGTTATGAATTTTTACAAACAAATACTCATCAACTGAAGAGAAATGAAAATAGACTTTGTATAATTCAAATTCGATGATGAGGAACCCACTTTGAGACTAATAATGCTTGGAGAAGGCTTGAATGGGTAACGAAGAAAAACTTTAATGTAAGTTTAACATAACAGAAAATGTACAACATTTCGACAAGGTTTGATTATTGTCTGATCATGACAAAACCTTGTTGAAACTTTGTACATTTGCTGTTATGTTAAACTTATATTAAAGATTTTCTTCATTACCCATTCAAGCTGTCTCCAAGCATTATTAGACTTTGTAGAAGTTTTTGTTTTTCTAAAGTTTGTAAAATCTGTGAATTGTTGTGTCACTGAAGTAGTTCTAGGTTTTGGTTTTAAATATTGTTATCTTCCAGATACCCAGCTTCTGCTTGTGGTCCTCAAGATCTGTCTCTCCCAACATCCAGGCCTGGTTTTGTGAGTACAGGGGAAGGGTTAACTTATATTTGTAGTTTTGTACCTGACTCCTAGGCTGCTGGAACAATCCCACTAACCAAGAATTCCCAGCTCCGTGATCAGGGGCATCCAGATTTAATTAGCTTCATTCCAGGTCAACCCATCCAATTGTTTTTTGTTTTTTTTTTGCAAGCTGTTAGTATCCTTTCAAATACGAGGACTATGTTTTTAGGATGGAGGATGATGGACTTAAAAGAGGCAAGGCTAGTAGGACCAGTCTTGTACAGTGGAATCACTCTGTGCTCTAATCTGTGGAAATCATTTTAAAGTTAGTGACTATTGTATGAAAATTTTGAAAATAAAAAATTCATCTTGTAAATTGTCATTACTTTGTTTGGTGTTATACTTAATTGATCAATTTTTGCAAATTAAGTTTCAACTTCTAAATTTCAAAAAGAAATATTTAAAAACTTCTCAATCTTCATTTTTTGTCATGTGACACTGAGCTCCTAATTTTCTCTTTGAGAATTTTCTAACATACAAAATAAACTTTTTTATTCTTGACATCATCCTTCATTCAGACTGACTCAGTAAAGACTTCATAAGTTCACAGGTGAATCTTTAGTTAAAATAATTTTTGATTGTACAAACGTGATTTGACATTTACTAACAGCTTTCCAAAATTCATAAAGTTACACAAGTAAGTTGAAATTATAGTAATTATGGCTTCTCAGGCTTGGTCCATTGGAATCATACTTACAAACATCCTTTTAACAAAGAAACTCGTACTAATATAATAATAAACCTTTTTACAATGAAACATTAATATATAAAAACTTTTAACAAACAATATACATTGTATAAACATTAATCTGGAAATGCGCTTCATGCTGTCTCATATGTAAAAACAATAAACAAAGATGTAAATTAAAATGCATACATATATTAGAAAATGGTTTTACAAAAAACAAACTCCAAAAATTGACACATCCTTTTAAAACTAATACACAGAAAAATATCCCTATATGTGAATCCACTAAATGAAACACTTAATACCAGTTCAGTACAAGGAAATGTACATTATAAATTAAATATATAAATAAAATATTTCCACAACTTGATATACAATTTACAGGGAAGCTGGAGTTGCTTATCTATAAGAGTACTGACAGCAAATTCCAAACAGCTGTGGATTTCCAAAGACCCCTTGGTGGTCTGGCAGAAAATCTCTGGATCTTGCAAGGACCAAGTTCTTGCCAGATCCTCTTGGAGATGACACACTTCCTCTTCCAACTGTGTTAGCAGTTCCTTGCTTCAGCAGATAGTGTTCCTTGTGGTTTTACAATGCTGAGGCTTCCATCCACCAGAGAGCTGATCTTTCACCTTGATTGAGAGTTCCATTCTTGCATTTTGTAGAGGAGCTGTTGTGCATGGAGTGGATATCCAGGTGCTTGTGGTAAAAGGTTGCCATTTGGGTCTTGGGTGATGATAAGAGTTGTGGAGCGACCTTCCTGCTTTAATGATTTCTTCTCATAATGTAGCTCTGGAAAGGTCTTGCCAAAACGAGGTAAACATGCATATCACGATGCTTGTTTCAAGAAACAAAATACCTTCCAATGGGGCACTTGAAGTTCTTCTCGCAGTGACTGACTTTCAGCCTTGGACTTGCTCTTAGGCATCTTCTTTACTCCTAGTGGCGCTGGATTCCACGTTAGATTACAGGCTGGATGTTGAGATCTTGACAGAACCCACACTTCCTAGATCCCTTGTCTGAATCACTATTGGTGAATTGGCAAGTGGTTATTTTTGATGCTATGGAGTCCCTAGGGATAGAAGGTCAGATATGTCGTTGAGCAATGCATCTTCATCTATAGACTCCGATGACTTAAACAAAATGCCAACTCGAAGTCTAGTTGGAAGAAAAAAAAACTAAAAAATATCATAAAAATAAAAATTCTCACCACTAATTCCATGGTTAATGCAGATATCAGGGTTGAACAGCAGCATAGAGAACATATACCACTATAATGCACTGTAGAGATGATGAACTAATGAATATACCATTATAAAGATGATGGACTAATGAATATACCACTATAAAGTACTGTAGAGATTCTGGACAACAACTATACCACTATAAAGCACTGTAGAGATGATGGACTAATGAATATACCACTATAAAGTACTGTGAAGATGCTTGACAACAAATATACCACTATAAAGCAGTGTAGAGATGATGGACTAATGAATATACCACTATAAAGATGCTGAACAACAAATATACCGCTATAAAGCACTGTAAAGATGATGAACTAATGAATATACCACTATAAAGCAGTGTAGAGATGATGGACTAATGAATATACCACTATAAAGATGCTGAACAACAAATATACCGCTATAAAGCACTGTAAAGATGATGAACTAATGAATATACCACTATAAAGCACTGTAGAGATTCTGGACAACAACTATAAAGCACTGTAGAGATGATGGACTAATGAATATACCACTATAAAGCATTATAAAGATGATGTACATATGAATATACCACTATAAAGATGCTGGACAACAAATATATTACTATAAAGTACTGTAGAGATTCTGGACAACAACTATACCACTATAAAGTACTTTAGAGATGCTAGACACTAAGTAGAGGATATTACTTAGTTAAAACAATAACTTTTTTTTTCCAAAAAAGAAGCAGACTGAGACAAAACTTTCTACATTCAGTATTATCTTATTATTTTCTCATATAGAATATATGAGGTTGTTTGGGGTATAAGTTTCAAAACCTATTTCTTTGGAGCCTGAGAGATTTTAAAATAACTGTCAAGATTGGATTGGAACAGTCATATTATAGATGAAAGTAGTAGTAATAGGTTTGAGGCGTGAAATCGCATGAAAAGCATAATAATCAAGAATACTCAAAATTCAAAACTGGCATTATTGATATTAGAATTGGTAGAGACAGAAAACCAGAACTCTCTAAAAGCGATGTTAATATTTTATGGCACGTTCTGTACGAGATAGGCAATAGTTAAGTACGAATTTTGTCAACGACCTTGCTGTAAATACAGTTGTGAATGTTACCTCGAGAACATTAAGATACAAATAAGCACGATGTGGTCTCAAAGGACGTGTATCTACTGTTCAGAAGAAGTAACTAAGAAGATGAAATGGGCATCAATTGTTTTTGAGATCTAGTTAGTGTTAGTATATGCTAGTTGTCACACGTGTGTCTGTATAAATCAAACATCAGTCCTATTCATTGCTTTATTGAACAACAGGCTACGGCTAGTATTACGTCAAATCCTTCGTACTTATAGAGTCGAACTACCTGTTTGGACCAGTTAATATTCGCCGTACTTTCTTAATCACCCTAATCTATGGCAGTTATTTTGGTGTAAAGTTAATAGTTCAGAGAAAAACTATTAATCACCAAGGGTGTTCGAGGTTAAAAATTAGAATTTCGTAAAGTGGTCATCGTTCTGGTGGGTGAAAAAATGAATTAAAAAAAGGAGAATGTATTGAACTATTGAAAGTCATTTCATATTCTGATAACTTACCGTGAATGTTGCAATTTTGTAAATAAATTCATTTTGAATCTCAAGGTTGCTGGTCTTTATTTTTTCGGTAACATTCATTGCCTGGACCACTTTTAATAGGACAGAAACTATCCACACTTATAGTCATCAACGTTATTGAGTATTAACTCACTCGCGTTTCAGTAAAAAGATCAAATTATTGTTGTATTTTACCAGTTGGAGCAAATACAATCAACAGTGTTGTTAGCTTCTTCGAATGTGTTCCCAACACTCACGGCTGTTTGTGTTACGTCATAGGCTTGAGATCGTGTCGTCACTCGAGACTCATAAAACATGCAAGCAAATCTTTGAAAGCCGGTAGACAACAACCGCCAGAGTCGTGTTGGGTTCTCAGGTTTAGCTTTGTAGAATAAAAATCAACCTACAATCAACAACCTAAAGTTACCTCAAAGATGAAAGCGTGGAACATATTTTTTATTTTTTTAGTTTCCCTTGTACTATCAGTAGAGGTCAGTTCCACCACACGATACCGTCATTTTGAAGGTATGTTTTTTTCTTATCATAATTGCCGACAAATAAAACTACAGGTATTTTTAGAAACTATAATTCCTTTCAGAGAAGTACTAAACACAAACATTAAAAGTATAATATCCCAACAGTTGTATTTCTTACGTTGTTACATCTATCCATCCTGCCTGTAAAAAGTACCTATCAGCCAGTTATTATTCAAATTTGAGTTCTCATGTTCTCAACAGTGTAAAAATTAGCCACATGAAAACCTTCTACCAAATTCTTCTACTTCGAGTATTTCTTTGTTGCTAGAAATATCAAGCTTTTATAAATTACAGTAAACTCGTACGTTAAATTTAAATAGTACTGACCTCAATCAGTTTTAGTGTAGCTATTCTGCTGCTTGAAAATCCACTGCACTACATGTTGTGACGTACTGTAACTGACGTGTTGGTAGGATGTACTATCAGAACATATTTGTAGACTCGAAAAGGGGCGTTTATTCAGATATCGCTTTAATTAACAGAACACCTTTGTAATGCAGAAAAAAAAAGATTCGATACTATAAAACTGCAAATGATCATAAAATATAAACCAAATAATGGATGACGAAAATTTCAAAGTCAAAAGCCGAAATTTGTTTCAATTTCGCGCAAAGTTAGACGAGGGCTATCTGCGCTAGCCATACCTAATTTATTAGTGATAGACTAGAGGTAAGGCAACTAGTTAACACCACCCAACGCCAATTCCTGGGTTACTCTTTTACTAACGAACAGTGCGATTGGCCGCCACATTATAATATCTCCATAGGTGAAATGGCGAGCATGTTTGGTGACGGAGATTCGGACCATGACCCGCAGATTGCGAGTCGAGCATCCCCTAATCATCAGGTCATGCCAGTCATCTTGTTAATTAACTCGGTTTCGAGAAATATAATTTATTTTCAAGTGCGAATTTCTTTATATGTGGGAAGAGTGCTCGACTCGCATTCTGCGGGTTCGAATCCCCGTCACAACAAACATGCTCGCCCCTTTCAACCATGAAGGCGTTATAACGTGACGGTCAATCTCACTATTCGTTGCTAAAAATAGTTGCCCAAGAGTTGGCGGTGGGTGGTGATGACTAGCTGCCTTACCTCTAGTCTATCACTGCTAAATTAGGGACGGCTAGCGCAGATAGCCCTCGTGTAGCTTTGCGCGAAATTCGTAACAAACAAACAATCTTTATATGTTTTTGGTTTTAAGATTACCTGTCGAACCTCGAAGTCGAAGATCAGGAAAACCAGTTGGAACTTGGTATCCCACAAACAACAACAACTGATCAGCCCCCATCTCCTAAAGGTAGGGTTAATGTTGATTTTCTTAAGTCGCGAGCTCTTTACTGTTCGGCCCAGCATCGCCAGGTGGTTAAGGCACTCGACTCGCAATCTAAGGGTCGCGGGTTCGAATCCTTCCCTCTAGTCTTACACTGCTAAATTAGGGACGGCTAGCGCAAATAGCCCTCGTGTAGCTTTGCGCGAAATTCAAAACAAACAAACAATCTTTACTGTTCGATTATGTAAGACTAATCAGAAACGGTACATTTATATATATATATACTAGCTGGAGTACCCGTCACCTGGACGAAAGTTATATAAATTCATGATTAATGAAAGGTTATTTTAGGACATGAAAAGTTGCTTCCCTTATAGTTCCCATAAGAACTGCAAAACAAAATGTGAAACCGCAACTTTGCATGTGTCTCCCCATAAACCTCCATACCAAATTTGATGAAGATCCATCCACACCCTGCGAAATAGTTACATGGACATACAACAGCTAGTACTATTATATTTATATAAATATGTATACGGTGCTGTTAATGTTTCATTAACATTTTAGGCCATACAAGTGTTGTAGTGTTGACACGTGTAATGAACCACTGAAACGATAGAAAGATTACAATGGTGAAAAATATTCGTGTAAGTTAAACCAATGCTACACCATAAAACAGCCTTGTATTGATTTAAAAATAAAGAAGAAACTTTACTAATATTCTACGTACTGCTATATGACTTCTCAACTAAGGTTAGTAATTAAAACTTTTTGCAGTTTCTATACACGAATGTCAACGGCAAATCCTCAAGTTGTAAGGAAAACCTAAACGTTTCATTTCTAGTCTTTGAACAGCTTTGGTGCTGTTATTATTAATGTTAAGAATTACCGTTCGTAATATACGTTATTTAGAAAACTCCATCTTTGTCCAGCTTTATTTTCAGATTTGACCACAGTTCAGGTTCTGGCGAATATAAGAGACTTTTCTTGGTTAGTTGTATAACTCGTTTTCTAACACATCGCTCTATTTTAAGAACTGGCTATCAGGACTTTCACAATCTGTCCGACGAATGTTTTATTATTATTTAATAAAATTCAGTTATTACGGAGAAGACTGATAAGTGGAAAATATTTTTGATTTGTTAGTTTTGCTTATAAAACAACTCTTATTTTAGGTACCAAAAAGGATAAAGAAGTAAACTGTTGCATGCTGGGTCAACTAGCAGGAGACAAGGGCTTCCATTGTTTCGTCAACTTTTATATTGCCCGACTTTGGAGGCGAAATTACAACCGCGCACATAACCGCAAGATGGCATTTCATGGCAGTGGAAGGATTCCAAATTATGGCCAAAAGACCATGCGTACTTTTCAACAGTGTGTTGCTGGTTTTGGTGTAATCTTTCATAAGTGCTGCCACCTAGCAACGATTGAAAAGCGTATCGTTCGTTATAACTCTAATCACCTTCGGAGAAATGTTCATCTGCACAGATATTCTGAAAATCGTCTTAATCGAAAAGCAGACTATACAACATAAAAATACGAGAGTTTGGGGTTCCTAAGTAGAAAGAGCAGTTAGTGAAGTAGAAACAGTTGTTTGCAAGAAATGCTTGATCAGAAAATGTGTTTAGGAAAATCAGTCGCATATTTAAACTAATTAGAAGTTACTTACTAGTTTGTTTTCTAGAAATGTAGTTTCCTATTTCGAAATTGTTTTATTTTGTTGTATACACAATATTATAAACCACGTTGTAAGGCATTATCACGTGACAAATTTCACTTAAACGGAAAATATTTGCTTATTTTTTTAGCCAAAGATTAAATTTTTTTGTTCATTAGATATATAACCAGAGATATAATTAGTGTAACAAACTTAATAACCAGATAAATGTTTTATTAACTTAAATTAGATAGAGTTTTACTATAAGTTAAAAACCAGTTTTCTGTGTTCAGAAAGTTCTGTGGATTCAGGAGATCGTGTAGTTTTACTGTAGGTGGTTAAAAATCAGTTTTCTGGGGGTATTATTGAACTTGTTACGATGAAATTAATAAAGCAAAATTAGCTAAACTTTTGAAACATAACGATTCAAAGTTATCAGTATATTCGTTAATTTTCATTGTGAAATATAGTTTGAAATTTTCATTTTTATCCTACTGCTTACCTTCATAGAGAGTTTTAGATTATAAAAAAACTTTAATATGTCTTGTTTTTATTTCAACCTCTTTGATCAATATTTCTAAACTTGATCATGTTACATGATTTGTTTCAAACCAATTATATTTGTTAGTATTTACTGCTTACTCGGGTGTTACGTAAACAATACAATTTGATGGTAGTAAATAAAGAAGGGGTGTTTACCATACTCTCATCAAGGTAATGCATAAATACGTGGGGAACTTGTATCACACTAATTAAGGTAGCAGATAAAGGTGCAGGAAAACTTGTACCATACTATTTAAGGTAGCAGATAAAGGTACAGGAAAACTTGTACCATACTATTTAAGGTAGCAGATAAAGGTGCAGGAAAACTTGTACCACACTTTCCTCGAGGTAATGGATAAATGTACTTTAAGAAAGACAGGGAGTAAATTATATAACGTAAAAATTAATGAAATCAGAAACAAATATTTATGTTTTTAATATTTGTATTTTTAATGCATCGTTAGTGCCAAGGATAATAACAATGTGTGTAAAAAGTTCTTATAATAAATACATCGGCAAGTTTCATGTCTACCTCGTAGTGTTAATATCTAAAACAGAAAACAGATATGTGAGAAATTTTTGTGGAAGGAAAATATTATTAAGTTTTTAGGGGTAGTATACATTATTTCTTTTTATAAAGAAAGAAAGTTTAATTTATGAATGATAAACAAACTTTTGTGGAAAGGTTTAAGCAATATTTAAAGTTTCCATGAAGATTGAACAACAGTAACGTATAATATAAATATGAAAGATTAAGTTCGCATGACATTGTTAAACTGCTCGTTAGTCTTATAACCGAAACCGAAACCCTCGACAATTCCATGTTTAAATAATTCCTAAGGCGATGTGACGTAATCACCAATGATGGTCGGATCTGCTTTATTATATTCTTTGCACGTGCATATGAAGTCTTTCTGTATCAATTTTCTCCTTTAGAAATCTGACAAAGAAAAAAGTGTGTGCACGTGAACATATCCTCGTAACAAGACATGTTCTGAGAATTGGCAGCACGTGTTCGGTGAAAGTGCATTTTTTTTTGTTCTGGTTACGTTATTCTCAGAAGCCTAGTTTATTGGCTAATTATTAAACGCTGACATATCATTAATGCAAAGTATTAATTTATTCTTTTCTCTCTCTCTTTATTTCCCGTTTTATTTTTCGTTTTCAGCTCTTGGTCATACAGTATATTTCTTTCTTTCCTTCCTTTGTGGTGATATTATATTATATGTCACCTTTTTGTTTTTCCTCTTATTTTATCAGTTTTTTCTTCTATTTAACTGTCTCACCACCTTTCACCAGTATGTTATCTACCATTTATTTCAGTTCTAGTTTGATTTGTTTGCATTTTGTTTTTCTTTTCTACCTGTAATCGTTCTTGTTTTATTTCACAACGTCTTTCTATTCCACATTTTTGTTCCGATGTTTAATTATTTCATCCTACAATCCGTTGTCTCTATTTTCTCTTTATTACTTCTTTTATATAAGTTTATTTTACTTGCCACTTTTATTGTACACTTTGCAATTCAGATAACTTTTTACTTCTGTAGACATCAAATCGTTATTTCACTTTCTTATATTCTTGTATAGATATTTTGAGTTTTCTTATGATTTATATGAGTCGTTTGATTTTTTCTCTTTACCCTGTAGTTTTCATTACCTCTGCTACACAGATTGTGTTTTCTTTTTTAAACTTTCAAACATAGTATATCGTGGGGCACCACTCCCAGGCAATTTGGCCGAGAGTGTATAACACAAAATACTATTTTTAATTAATACGGTGTATTCAATACACGAATTACACTAACATATACAAAATGTAATCCATAAATAACGATATATATCACAGTGTTTAGTTTTTACCACTACAGTTTTGCACGTAAACATATTTGTAAGTAATGTGATACCATAAATGTAAACGTAATTATGATATGATACAATTACTTTAAATAATAAAAGAAGCCAAATTAATTAAACTTTACTTTTAAATAGCACAGTGAAACACAGTTTTTATTTCTCAACACGACGCTAAACACAACTTCGAGTGTTACGTAATACCACAACATATTACATAGTTTCTTAATACGTACAACCAATAACGTATAGCTAGTGTTGTTTCTACATAATACGTACAACCAATAACGTATAGCCAGTGTTGTTTCTACATAATACGTACAACCAATAAAGTATAGCTAGTGTTGTTTCTACATAATACGTACAACCAATAACGTAAAGCCAGTGTTATCTGTACATAATACGTACAACTAATAAAGTATAGCTAGTGTTGTTTTTACATAATACGTACAACTATTAACGTGTAGCTAGTGTTGTTTCTACATAATACGTACAACCAATAAAGTATAGCCAGTGTTGTTTCTACATAATATGTACAACTAATATAGTATAGCCAGTGTTGTTTTTACATAATACGTACAACTATTAAAGTATAGCCAGTGTTGTTTCTACATAATATGTACAACCAATAACGTATAGCCAGTGTTATTTCTACATAATACGTACAACTAATAAAGTATAGCCAGTGTTGTTTCTACATAATACGTACAACTAATAACGTATGGCCAGTGTTGTTTCTACATAATACGAAGAACCAATAACGTATAGCCAGTGTTATTTCTACATAATACGTACAACCAATAACGTATAGCCAGTGTTGTTTCTACATAATAAGTACAACTAATAACGTATGGCCAGTGTTGTTTCTACATAATACATATAGCTTATTAAGTAAGAACACTGCAACGCATATAGTGTTATTTGTGAATAATTCCGTAAAACGTAACGTTCTCAATATTTCGGTAAAGAAACAATGTTACTTCTAAACAATGCACTATTGAAAGAAGATTACAATGCTATACAATCCATAATATCCAAATTCTTAACAGTGTTGTGTTAAACGATGTGATAAAATATATATTTGAAAATACGATTTCTCAAAATATGGGGCGATTTGTCAATAAATCCTTAGAATACATAAATTTTAACTTTTATGTAAATACGGTTTTTACAATGATATCGTATCCTTTCTAATCTTGGCCTTGAACGTACCACAAGTCTGCGCAACAAGATATTCACTACATAAGAGTGATGGTAATCTGTCCAACTCGGGATGATAAGGTAGAGGTATAGACTATTTGTGAAACTTCAGGAGCTGTAACAGAAAAAAAAATTAATATCTTAGCAACATGAGAATAATCTCGAAACTTTCGTTTTCCTTCTACACCAAAAATATTTTCTTTATCATTGCACCATTTTGTTTTTTAAGTTAATATGTCATTAGAACCTGAAATTATTTGTCGTCTTGTATTGTATTAAGGTGAATGAAACAAAATATTCGGTTACAAATGTTTTCTTACAGTGATTAGATGTAAAAACTTTATTACAAATGTTTTTTATAGTGATTAAATGTAAAAACTTCATTACAAATGTTTTTTACAGTGATTAAATGTAAAACTTCATTACAAATGTTTTCTTACAGTGATTAGATATAAAAACTTTATTATAGATGTTTTCTTATAGTGATTAAATGTAAAACTTCATTTCAAATGTTTTTTACAGTGATTAAATGTAAAAACTTTATTACATATGTTTTCTTACAGTGATTAAATGTAAAAACTTCATTACAAATGTTTTCTTACAGTAATTAAATGTAAAAACTTTATCACATATGTTTTCTTAGAGTGATTAAATATAAAACTTCATCACATATGTTTTTTTACAGTGATTAGATTTAAAAACTTTATTATAGATGTTTTCTTACAGTGATTAAATGTAAAAACTTTATTACAAATGTTTTCTTACAGTGATTAAATGTAAAAACTTTATTACAAATGTTTTCTTACAGTGATTAAATGTAAAAACTTTATTATAGATGTTTTCTTACAGTGATTAGATGTAAAAATTTCATTATAAGCTATATTTTCATTGTTTTAACTTAGGTGTTTGCTAACTAGAAATTAAGATCAAGTAAGTTCATAACAGTAGTCAGAGAATACCTAGAAAGTCTACGATGATGCCAAGAATCTAGTAATTTTGACTAATATCTATTCGTGGTTACATTAGTTATAAATATGATAATCAGTGAAGCATTAAGTTATTTCACTTTTGAGTATTTATTGAGAAGTTATTGATTAGTGATTCAGAACTGAGTGAAGTATTTAATGTATGAAAGAAAAAGTTATTGAGTAAGAGTTAATAAGCTAATTAGTATTATAAGCTAAAAAGGATAATATTTACAATTACTTACTTAATCCATTTCACCCCATAACAGTAATTTTTCATGAAAGATGATAATATAAGTAGTGCCTAGACCACTAATATGTTTGTTATGTTCCAGCCGGCGGATGAACCTAGCATTGTACAAAATGCCTCTTTGGCACTAGATATGGCAGATATAGTGTGATTGACATTTTGTAATATATTCTTCTTTGCTTTCATTCATAATTTCTTAGAATGATAACGAACTACATTTTAACTAACTAATAATAAACTTTAATTTTTTACAGTAGTCAATTCTTATCTTGACGTCAAGACGAGACTTATTTTACGTAAGCTGAAATACCCGTCCTCTGTCCTGGTTATGTGAATAAATAACACAAAAGTCCTAACTTTCACACAATTTATTCATAACATATTATTATTGTATTCATTATTACCTCACCAAAAGTTTTGTGTAAGCTTTAAGAACTCAACATGTATACACTGTGCGATGTATCAAACGTGATTAATTAATTGACGATCATTGGCCGCAGAACTGTCTTACGGCCGAAGTTGAAAGGTCACGAGTTAAGTAGGAAGTGGGTATAATTTAAGAAACGGCTCTTCATACCAGACTTATGGTAGCTGTTGAAGTAGAAACTTCAGCTGAGTTATGTATTATTTCAATAGAGGCGGACATATTTTCATTGCATTCCTCCATGGAGAGTGCTAGCGCACTCTTTGAGATATATATAAGACGTTTTTGTGCTATCCCCTACACTTTGTGTGTCGTTATCTAAAACATTTAATACTTATTTTGTGTGCAATGACGTAACGCCATCTATGAATGTAGTTAACGTTAACTTACGTCAAAGATAATAAATGTTCAATAACAGCAATAATAAGAGGTAGAGGGGATTATTAACTCCCCATTAACATGCCCCTTGTTCCAAGCTATCATCTCACGAAGTATGATTGAGATTGGCCCAGCGACCTAGGAGTATTTAGATAACGGACAAACTGACCAGAAACAGAATTTTATGCTTTATGTATACAATAAAGATTGTTAGTTTAGTATATGTGTTAAGGACTAACCTAAATCTCCTAAGCTAGCTGAAACTTTTAAAATGTTATTGGGATTATGGCTGAAAATACCGATGACAGTCAGGGTATACACTCAAATGATAAATCAATGGATACTGATCATTAGAAGTTTTTGTTTTATTAAATTCCATTCCCCTACTTAGACCGGTGTGCTAAATTAGCCACATTATTTATTGGGTTAGATTTTAGTTTTGTTATATGTAGTTACCTTGCTTTAATAAGAAATTACCGGGTTAAGTTTTAGCTTTAATCAGAAGTTACTGGGTTACCTTTTAGCTTTTATCTATGTAGTTTACATACTTTTGTCAGAAGTTACTGAGTCAACTTTTAGTTGTGGTATATGTAGTTATCTTGCTTTGATGAAAAGTTACTGGTTAACTTTTAGTTCTGATCCATATAGTTAGCTTGCTTTAATCATAATATGTTACTGGGTTAATTTTTAGCTTTGATATATTTAGTTAATTTGCTTTGATCAGAAGTTACTAGGTTAACTTTTAGCTCTGATCTATGTAGTTAACTTGCTTTAATCAGAAGTTACTAGATTATATTTTAGTTCTGTTCTGTGTGGTTAGTTTGCTTTTTGATAATAATAAAAAAGAACATGAATAACACTGTGATATTTCAACGTATAAGAAAATGTTTGAACCAATTGTAAATATCAAATAAGAGGAACGAAGAAGCAATGAAATAAGGGTTTTAAAAGAAAAATAACAGCCTAGTAAGTTTATGTATTATAAATTATTACTAGCACACATTCTATATCGTTCAGTGTTGATGAAACGAAAACTCTGTAATGAGAATAGTCTAAAATAAAATGTTAAATTGTCCAACACATTAATACATATAATATTAATTTTCCCCAGAAATTTTCTTTCACATTCATTAATTTGTATTTAAACACTTTCTTCTTTTGAAATATAATAAATTAAGCGTTTTATATAGTTTGCCATCTATTGGGACTTATTATAACTAAAACGAGGTATGTACAAGTCACATAACTTAATAAAGTAATATCGTTTATTAACTTAAACATTTTTTCAAAATAATAATAATAATTAAACATATTAAGCTTCATTGAAGAAAATTCTAGATAAAACCGCAATTGGAACAGAAACTACTGTCAAAACTTTTACAAATATAAAATCATTTGGTACTGCCGTCGTTGAAATAAATTTTATAAAGCTTTCGATGGTAAAGCTGAAAAACACTGAAATTAACAACAACATTTTAAAAGTGTGTTAAAGGTTGGTAAAATGTTAATATATGGCTTATCGACGTTTTTTTATGTGTTTTTACAAGAGGGAGATTGTTAGCAACATTCCCAATCCTGAGAATTCTATGAGAAATATTGGAATTCACCTGAATCATGTAATATCAATCTGTTGATGATGAATAAGAAAATTAAAGGATTAGAAATAGATAAAGCATAAAGACCATACACTGTTTTCCCCCATGCCTTTAAAGAAGGTCGAAAATCAGATATGTAGATTTTTCTCTCTCGTTTATAATAGGTTGATAGACAGTGGTAGGTGCCTAAAGATTGGATAGCCACTATTGTTACTTGTATTTATAAAGAGAGGATAGGAGATGATCTGTAAATTATATAGCAGCTCGTCTTATTTCTGCAGTGTATAAAATGCTAGGGCGTGGTAAAAAAAAGTTTTGCAAAATATTTTAGTGAAATGTGATATTATAGAGAAAAGCCAACATAGATTAACTAAAATACATTTTGTATTATTAATCTGTTATTATTTTATAGAATTTTAGCTATCTAGATGGTGGAAAGGATGTGGACTTGATGTGTTTAAATTTTCAGAAGGCTTTCAATAAAATGCCACATAGAAGATTAGCTAAGAAGATCACTTCGGTAGGAGTTGGGGGAAACAGTTGATTCGACCGAAATATGGTTAGGTGAGAGAAAGCAAAAGACTGTTATAAAAAGAGTCCAATTAAAGTGGACCTTGTAAATAGTAATATGCCTCGAGGTTCAGAGCTTGTGCATCCTCGTTTTTTTTTAAATACTTTTATATCTGAGGCTTTTACAATCCCCACACATCATATTAGCATAAATACGTCAAATTTGTGTTTATAAACACTGTGGTATTGAAATTAAATCAAAGTACAAATAAAATATAATACCGATTAACACTCGTCACTATATTAAGTACAAGAATGTTGGCTTAAGGCTTGAGCACAAAAAAGTAAAATATTTTTTTCAAACTTTTGGTGATTATGCAATGAAAGAAAAAATTCTTAAAGAGTAGAAAAATATTTATTCAGCAATGATTAGTGATATAAATATATTTTTAAAAAAGGTGACCTCTTATGTATTTGTGCCACTAGATGTCAGACTTAGACGTAGCACTCCGCTATGAATGATATTATAGGCTTAGAAAGGGCTGTTGTACGTTATCTATTGATGTTTCTAAAGTTACAATAGTACATAACATTTTATTTTTTCAGTTATAATACTTTTCTGTTTCACAAAAATGGGTCGTCGATCTATAAATACCACTAAAAGTGGAAAGTATATGAATCCATCAGATCAAGCAAGTAAGTATGTATTACAAAAGTACTTTAAAAAGTTAAGACGTTAAGTAGGCTTAGGCCTGTTTAAAAATTTGTGTTATTAATATTGTTACAAACTTATTGAAAAATGAAGGCTATTTTACTGCAGCTCAAAAGAACCAGATGTAAAATGTAAATCACAAGAATTTACATTATCATTATGCTTCGGGCTTCTTCCTATGCCACTGTTTCAGTTTTTGTCAGTTATTGTTGCCAGTGATGTAGCACGCTCTTATTATGTTTAATTTAAACGACTCTTAAAAATAGTATTAAATTATTCGTAATTTTGTGTTTTAGCATATTGAGAGAGAGAGTACATGTTACTCTAACAGTAGGGATTTCGTTGAATTTTAAATAGCGAAAGTAAAAAAATTACATACTATTGGATTCCAAATTAAAAAAATTAGTAGACTTACACTACAAATTCAATTTGAATTATGTAGTTTATAATTAACGAAGAACGATTAGCAATCGTACTTGTAAATTGACCTTTTGCACCATGTAAACGTCTCATTGGAACAATGCTAATAAAATTGCTTTACCTGGTAACCTAAGAGTGATACATTGCATGAAACATGTCATGATAAGGCAAGATAAAATGTAACTCTAATAAAATACTTAATTAAAAACCTATATGGGTGAACTTATATAACATTTATAAATGAAATAAAAACTGTCATCAACCAAATGTTAAAAATCATGTATGAACTTACATATTTACTTATTAAAGTAGAGGAGAGATTTTGTATTCGTATTGATTTCATGATTGACAGATGCATACCTGTTATGATGTAAAACAAATTGTTGTCAAGGCAACATATCTTCTGCTTCCAGTTCCAATTCATTCTTTTTTTTTTTTTTTGACATGCTGTCAGGTTGGAATTGTGCAGACATACATATATATATATGTGTGTGTGTGTACATCAATTTATGAATTATCAAATAAAGACCACAAAGTTTATTATATGGCTTTATTTTTTCAAATTAGATGACAAGTAGGTATTTATCATTTGTTTTAAAGTTTTGATTGTGTGTTTTCAAATAGAAAATGGTCCTGGGTACAAAAATACAAGAACACCCAGTCCAATGTAGAGTATGTAGAGAGCTGTCATTTGATATATCACTGATGCTTATTAGCCAAGTATCCACTTGCTGGTGTCCTATTTTTGGTGCTAACATTTGCCCATTGGTCGCTGCTAAATGGCGGAGGAATGTTTAGCAATCATTGGTGATTTTATTATACCTGATTTACAACTAGTGGGAATAGTTACCTTGAAATAAACAGTGAAAACTCAGTATGTAATAGTACTGTAGGCTTTTTTCATTTGTTGTTTAGTGTACAATGATTTGGTATTTTGGTTATGGGAGATTTATATATTCACAACTGCGTCTTTGCACTCAGACATTTCTGTGGCTGAGAACTATAATTCTTTGTGAAAACGTACTAATAGTAATTAATATTGGACTAAGAATCATACAGATGTACAGCATAAACTGTTCGTTACTGTCAGATTAAATAAAATTCTAAAGTCTGTGAAGGTTAAACTTTTCATTTTGATGAATTTTTGTCGTACACTTTTTTGTTAGCATATCTGTAAAATTTATATTTTAGGCTATGGGGCACAGTGTGGCCTAGTCCATCGAGTTTAAAGTAATATTTATTGAATATAATGACAATAATCACAAGTTTAATTTAACTTAAAATTAAAACACTAAACACATGGATAAAAAAAAAATAATTACAATGTTCATTTACTTGAAGAGTTTTGAGTGAAAAACTTTGTTTACTTTTTGAGATTCGTAGTTCTGATTATTGTAGATAATCTTTTAAACTAATTTTTGATTTGTGAAGTGAAAGGTATTTGAAGTAGAACAATATAAAAGCTACCTTCTACTGTAGGATTAGTGAATACATCTTTAGAAGTTCAATTTTGATAAAAGAGTTAGCACAAAGGATCACATATAAAGTGTAATAGACTTAAAATAAGACCCAAAACTCAATCACTTCAGAATAGTCAACTATTCAAAAGCGCTCAAGTTTTGGGTCTTATTTTAAGTCTTTAGAAGTTCAGTGTTACAGATGTGTGCATTGTAATGTGTGTTGTTATTTTTCCCAGGAAAAGAGGCCAGGAAAAGGGAACTGAAGAAGGTAAGTATAAAAACTGTTTATATTTCTTTATGCTTCACTGGAGATGTATTGGGACTTTCAGGAACATAGAGAAACATACCACAAGCACCAAAAATGCATATTTGTTATGTTAAAGAAAAATTGTTTAAAATTTAATGATTCTATGTAATATCATATCTTTTTCAGCACACACACACACACACGTATATCAGTCCTTAACATTTGAAAGATGCATAAGGGCTGTAAACAGCCCGTCAGACAGTCCACAGGAGTTGCGTGCAGGCTGATGCTATATCTTGATTCTTTCTTTACAAAATTGAACATTAAAAATATTATTTTTTTTTACTGAATTATATTGTTTTTCTATCAGAAAACTTTGCTGATTAAACTGAAATGTGTTTACAGCATGTCATCTAACTATGATGACCTCCGATCAAGATGGCAGCCCTTGAAGCCTTGTGTCATGCTGAAAATAGTTCATCAAATGCAATTTAGGTCACAATCATATTTGCTAAAACTCTTCTTGCTAGTCTGAATTTGCTAATAATTAATATCCAATTTTGTAACATAAACTTTAAAACATTGATTTAGTTTCCCTTTTACAAATATTTGATTCCTGTATGTAATGATATACTTAAAAAATGTCGTATTACTGTGTGTGTAACATTACTATTCTAGGCCAGTTAAAATTAATGTATCAGATTCATAGTGGCCAGCAGAATCACACAAAGTTATCTATAAGCTTTGCTGTGCAAACGAACAACAGTTAATTGTATGGCCATTGCCTTGACAAATAATAATAGGATATTCATTCAAAAGTTTTTATTTTTCATTAAGAATAAAATGACCAGTAGTGGGCCCAAAACAGTAAATATCATAGCAGAGTTGATGGGGCTCTAACAAGACTTTGCAGTAATGTTGTAAGAGTTTAATAAATTATACCTGATTAATTTTTAGAAATTACAATTTGTTACATGAAGAAATAACATTTTTAAACATAATTTGTTAGTTTTTAGATAAATCTAGTTTTATACAAGTTTATAGTTTTATTCAAAAATTAAGTGTGTGTGTATCAGTAAATTAATTATAATATTAAGAGAACTCAAAGTGCATGTTAAATATCATACAGAATTTGTTAATTGTTCATTTACACTTGTAAAAATACTTATAGAAAACAAATGGAAATTGTTGCTGTGCTAAAAATAAAATGTTAAGAAGAGGTCCTGGCCTTACTGTTTTTGATACCTGTTTTAGAAGTATGTTTATATGTCTGGTAATAAAGTGCATCAAATTGAGAGTACAGATAGATTAGTATTCAGGAGTATGTTTATATATCTTGGGCAATAAAGTAAATCAGAATGTGAGTACAGACAGAGTAGGGTTCAGGAGTATGTTTATATGTCTTGGGCAATAAAGTAAATCAGATTGTGAGTACAGATAGATTAGAAGTCAGGAGTATGTTTATATATCTTGGGTAATAAAGTACATCAAATTGTGAGTGTTAGTGGATTAGGGTTCAGAAGTATCTATTTAATGTCATGTTATAAGGTACCCAAGTCTTAAATTAATAAAGCAGAAATAATTTTTTTAGTTAAATTTCAAATTGTATTTTAAGTCTAATGAGTAAAGTTTTATAGAACAAAAAACAAAGACAGCTGGTGAGAGCGGCAGTGTTAAAAGGAAAGGACCCTCATCAGCTAATAATGGACATGGAGAAAATAGATGAAATGGGTAAGCCACTTTTGTACTCATTTAAAAGCATTTACTTATTTTCAGTGAATTTTAAATTGTGTAGGTATGCAAACAAACCCAAGAAAATCCTGACAGTGCCTATTTTTGTTTATTCAGCCCTCAACATTGTGTAACAGAAAAAAAAAAAAATGTGTGAATGAGTGAGTTTTCAAATGGCTTACATGGTGTTTAAAGGAAAATGTAAAGCAATAAATTTTGAATTACCACAATGGGTATTTTTAATTAGATAGTGAAGTAACTTATTGATTCATAAATTGACAAAAGTTAGCTTTATTACTGTCACTGATGTGATGTAGTGGCTAATGTCTTCACAGATAATAAAATATGGTAAATTAAACTATAATACTCATACATTTATTATTATTCATGTGTACTGGGTATATACTTGTGAAATCTCACTCTTGTGATTTGTTCCCAAAAAATAACAATGATTTTGAATTATCTAAATAAGACCATTAAAAGCAGTGTGTGTTGAAACTTTTTGTAGCTATAAATAAGACCATTAAAAGCAGTGTGTTGAAACTTCTTGTACCATTAAATAAGACCATATAGAGGAAATTCCATTGAATAAGTGATGTTTAGTAGAATGAAATAAATATAACATGTGTCAAAGATATGATCATGCTCTTTCAGTTAGGACATCAGTTTGACAAACATCCTTACATTTGATAGAACTTACATTTATATTTGGACTTTTACATTAGAAGCTCCTGTTCAAGTATTACAGATTTAATTTGTAGTGCATAGAAGGTTTGTAATGAAAAACTTTGATAAAAACTACATCTGAGTTAGTGGAAAATTGTATTAAAAGTTGGGAAAAAATCTTTAATCAGATATGATATAAATATCACCAAGACCACCACCACCACGTCTGTTGTATTCCAGCTGGATGGATGAACAGCGATATTGAACAAAAGGCTTCATTGGCACTGTATATGGCAGATGTAGTGTTTGCGACATGTTATTCTTTGTTTATAAGTTCTAAGAATACTTGTAACAATGCAGTTTCATAAATTTATTTTGAAATATTATCAGTAAGTAAAAAAAATGTATTCTCTTTGAGGCCAAAGTAATATAAATTTAATTTTGGGCAAAATTTTTTTTCTATTGATTATAACAATTTGTTTTACAACACTTTGGTCTAAATTTACATTATTTCGGACAAAATTCACCCATTTTACAGTTTGATATCTTCTAACTCAGTTTTCTTAGAAAGATTGTTTACTCTGTTCTTGCAACTCAGTATGAAAAGATATTAACCTTACTTTTACAGTATTCTAAAAGCTACCAAAAACTTCATAATATTAAAGTCAAGAAAAGCTAGTGATACCCAATACCATGTAATGTATTGTGTGGCTTTGCATTTCTTATAACATATTTTGTTGCATAACAGTTCTGAACCCACCCTACAGTAGAGGGGTTTCACTATAATATGGAGAGAAATACTCATGCAGAGACAGAAACAAAGATGTACGTATGTATGAGAGGTTGGAAATGCAAACTTTGTTCAGCTTAGTCAGGATAGAGGTTTTAAGCTGAAGAAGAAGTGGTTATAGAAGTGAATATGCCTATTGTGTAAGAGGTTGATAATAAACATATTGGTACAAACTGGTTGAACTAGGACTTATTAGCTCAGTAGAAGAGTGATTATATTAGTAATATGTCTGTTTTTATTATAATAATGATGTGTTAATTGTTTCCTTTTATAGAGTTTAATCTGGCACATCCTCCACCACTGAACGAGAAGGTTCTACGGGACAAGAGGAAGAAACTAAAAGAGACTTGGGACAGAGTTTTAAGATTATATGTGAGTCCTATTTAATTATTCTCTCTTGTAAATGGTGTTTTTTACACAATTCAAATTGAACATCAGAACCTATACCAACTATGTGGTATTAAAAAGCATCCTGCTCATTATGTTAAGGAATATTTCAATAGATAAAGCATAAAGTATTTGTTAATATATATATCTAATTTTTTAATGTTATTCCTTCTCCAAGTATTACTTGATTATTAATCTTAAAATTACCAATGGTAGATCATATGTATCTTATAGACTTTGTCAGCACATTTATATAGACTATTCATGCATTAAATTGCTTATTTATCCATGACTTTGTAGGCCCAGGGCAGCTAACAGTATATGAATCACACAAAAAATGTAACCCTCTGGGTATGGGTAGGTAAAAGTGCACGTTTCACAACCTTTTTACAGTTACATTTAAAATTTAATTAAACTGCTCTGTTGATAATCTGTGTCAACAATTTTACCATCAAATGTTAATATGATTTAAGTTTTAATTTTTAATCTTGAAAGGAAATATGTAAATAAATTCTCAGTCTTCACTTTTCTGTATCATGTGACACTTGTTCACTTTAAGTTGCACATTTTAGATAATTTTACCACCCAATTTTTACTTCTGAGCTTTAATGCAAGTTGTAGATATTGCTAAAATACAATCTAACATTATAGCCTCCAATCATATCATTTTAGTTGGACATAAACCAGAAAGTCACACCCACATGCCATGCCTTTTCAATCATATACTGTCATCCAAAAAATTTCAATAATTTGTTCTCATGTTTGCCATGACATTATTTATAACCAATAGAAAGAGAATATTTAAGTTTACCAACTTACAAATAACACAGGCCTGTGACGGTTATATTGTCTTGCAATTTTTCATGTTCTACAGTAATTTCTATGTGCTGAATCCAAAAATGGTATCCATTTTTCTCCATCACATACAGTTTTTTTGCAAAACGTCATATGAACTTTTACATATATGAATCATTTTCATTGAAATCAGGTCACATTTTGTTATGCTTAAAGTGTTGACAACCACTGGCGAAAGATTTCTCTAGACCAATCGCGATGTGAGAGTTTTATCAATCGTTTTAGAACCCACGAGAAACACACCACTAGTATATAAATGGTTAACAGACCGCATGACGTGTCATTTTTGGATAGTATTTGTTTGTGTGTGAACTTTGACTTTTTTTTCAATATTATTTATTCATTGGTATGGCAACAAGAGGTTTTGTAAATGACCCAAATATATTCTGTTATAACACTAGAAATAAAAAGGAAATTTCTTATCCAAACCTTCAATCTGCTATAAGACCTGTTGCTCATGAACCTGATATACCTGTACCTACTCCACCGGAGACTCTTGATACAGTTTCATCTGATTCTGAATCTGATGTCAGTAGAAATGATGATAGGGATTGTTTTCAACCTGAAATATCTGGTGAACCACAACTTTTGACACAGTGTGAACTTAATGATTTGGTGAGAGATTTGGGCCTTCCAAAAGATTCTTCAGAGATTTTGGGGCCCAGACTTTGGGCTAAGGACTTACTTTCTCCAGGGACATCATTTTACTGGTAGAGAAATCGTGAGAAAGAGTTTATACCAGAGTTTTCACATAAAAGGTTCACAGGTTTATTGCAACAATATTGCTGAATTAATACCAATGCTAGGAGATGCAGTCTATGAACCAAGTGAGCGGCAGTTGTTCGTTTTGCTCATTCGGATCACTTGAAGGAAACGTATGAAAATCTCAAACTTCTTCTTAATAAGGTCAACTACAAAGAACATGGTTGGCTACTTTGTGGAGACTTAAAGGTCCCTTGTATGTTGTTGGGTCAACAGTCTGGTTATACAAAGTTCCATGTTTTTGTGTGAATGGAACAGCAGAGCATGAAATCACCACTGGATAAAGAAGCAATGACCATGCACAGTCAGCCTGATACCAGGATCGAAAAACATTGAACATGAAAGTTTGGTTAACACAAAGAAAGTCCTATTATCTCCACTTCACATAAAACTGGGCTTGATGAAGTAGTTTGTAAAGGCCTTAGACAAAGATGGCGACTGTTTCAAGTATCTATGTGGACAATTCCCAGATCTTTCAGAAGCGAAACTTGAAGGGATTTTTGTTGGGCCTCAGATTAGAAAATTGACTTCTGATGAGCAGTTCAAAAAGACAATGAGAAAAGTTGAAAAAGAAGCGTGGATTGGCTTTAAAGATGTTATTGACAAATTTTTATGAAACAACAAGGACCCAAATAAGGAAAATATTGTCAATAACATGCTTGATAAATTCAAAGAGTTGGGTTGTAATATGAGCTTGAAAGTTCATATCTTTCACTCACATATTGATGGCTGATTACTGTTGGTCATTGAAACGAGATGCTCCAGATGCAATACATAATAGAAAGACTACAACACGTAGTTTTGTGACTAAAAGACATAGATTTCACAAAC